AAGGACCAATGCCTGGAGAAGGATTGTGCATGTTAAAGTGCAGGGTCAGCAAAAAAGGGAAGACCCCCAATGAGAATGATTTGCACAGTGGTACAAGCAATGGATTCAAGCTTAACAACGATTGTGGGGATGGCACAGGACCAGGCAGTGTTTTGTTCTGTTGTGCACAAGGTTGCTATGAGTCAGGATTGACTCTATGACATATAACAACAACAACAACCTGTATATAATTATTAAAATTTAGACAGCAACAATACCGAAAAAAAAAAACTCAAAAAAACAACTATGGTTCAAGTTGTACCACACTTTTGGTGGCAGAAATATCAAATGAACTGGCTCTTTAAGAACTCATGCAGTGATAATGGGGAGATGTGAGGCAGGAAAGGAGTCCTGGTGTAGACTGTGGGTTAACGCACTGGACTGTAAAGTCAGTTTGAACAGCAAGGTCAATGGTTAAGCTCACCAGCTGCTCCTCCGAAACCCTATAACACGGTCGCTATGAGTCAGAACTGACTCGACAGCACTTAACCATTAAAAAAAAAGAGAGAGAAAGGATATAAAGGAAACAAAGCTACTAAGTAAAAAAGGGAGGGCATGAATAGGAAGCAACAAATAGGGCAGGTTGTCTGCAGTGAAAAAGAACGGAAAAGAGGAAATGGAAAGTAACACCTAAGACTGCTTAGGGCTACACTGTGATGAAAAACCTGCTAAAATGTTGCTGCAATTATCTTGCAGTCAGAGAAGCATGGTAAGTATGTCTAAAGGTACAAAAATTAGCACAACTGAATCAGTAAGATCTGAAAATTCATGAAAAGTGAGGGAACTGAAGATGATTTAGGTTTCAAGCATCAATCTGTGGCTCACAATAAAGAAAAGTGACTCCCAGATTTCACAAATCACCTATCATTTTCCCTGAGTTTCATACTACATTTTAATGACATACTTTTTTTCTGTAGAGTGAGATGATGCAAGTACATCATATATAAACTAATGAATAGATTCACGAAATGTGGAAGACTATAAGTAAGCAGGGGAAGGAAGAGGCTATCATTACATATGCTCTATCTCAAAATGTTTATTTACAAAAGTAGGATACAGGATTCCTATCATCATTTGCTCATAAAAATAGAACCCAAGATTCCTGTACTCATTTATTCACTGATGTATCCCAATTGTCTCAAACAGTGTGTGGTATACTATTGCTGCTGTTAAGTGCCAGAGAGTCAGTTCTAACCCGTAACAGCCCCATATAGGGTTCTGGAGGAGAGGCTGGTTGGTTTGAACTGCCGAATTTGCACTAAGCAGTTCAGTGCTTATCCTACAGGACCACACCAGGGTCCCAACATGCTACTGTTGTTGTTAGGTACCATCAACTTGGTTCCAACTCACAGTGACTCTATGCACAACAGAATGAAACACGGCCTGCTCCTGCGTCATCCTCCCAACTGTGTTACACTTGAGCCCATTGCTACTGCCACTATGCCAATCCATTTCATTGGAGATCTTCCTCTTTTCACTAACCCTCCACGTTACCAAGCACAATATCCCACTCATAAGTACAGCTGTTGAACACATACGTAAGTTACCCAAGATGTAAGTTCTTAAATTTTAAGAAAGTTTAGTGTTCTCTCTCAATGTTACATTTATTAAATGGGCTTTTGTTGATAACTCTATTTCCAAAAATCTCAATAAACCATAATAGAATAATTTAGTAAAGATAAAAATAAGTATTTTCAGTGACACTAAATGAGTAACTACTGAAGGGAAAACATCTTAATTTAGTATATAATCAGAGAAGGAGAAAATGGCATCTGAGAATTTGCACCAATTTTTAGGTATGATCTAGGCTGAATTTTAAGTTTTGGAAAGGCTATTCATTTTAGACATGTTACACTAAATATTACCCCCTTTATGTGAGAATTTAAAGGAGAATGTATCTTCTACTGGCTTTGAAATTCAAACATTTTTTGGAGGGGCACAGTTTATCATCTTACCAGGTCTTTCCTTCCCAGTTGCTTTTGATTCAACGAATTTTTGTATCAAACTTTCAACTGTGGTGTTAGCCATGTTATTTATAAATTCTTCATGGACCTATTAAAATGGAGTAAAGAGAACCATTTTATTTTCCCCAATATATAAACAATGAAATTCATTAAATCAAAATATGCATTTTAAGACCCAGAGGTCCTTGACAAATTTCATTTACTTAACATGCTGTCAGCTCATCTACCGTGTTAGTAGATCTGGGGGCACCAGACCTGGCTTACATTACGTAGCCCCTTCTGATATGGCCTCACAGCATTAGAAGTCAAGCAGTTTCCCTTTCCCAAATTTATCGTAATAAATATTTATCACGCTAAATAAAAAGACAGTAAAATTGTTTGTAGCTTTAAGAATGAGAAAAGTCTTAATTTTTCTCTATTAGATTTTAATGCAGTCCTAAATTATTATCATTAAAACTTCTTTTATTTTTTGGAACATTTATAAGCACAAGTTCTATAACTTACTGAAATTTCTCAAAATTTTAAAATACTAAAGCTTGAAAAAGAAATATTAAAAAATTGGCAATTTCAGAATTTAAATTTTAGAGGACTAAGCATAGTTCATTTTAAAAAGTAATTTGAATTACCACCCTTGGTGCCTAAACCATAAAACATCCAATTTTATATTTAATATATGCAAATATATATTCCTTATCTAAAATAATTCAGTAGCGTTTTGATCATACTATAGGTTTCGGCCAGTGGTACAGATTTTTAATGAATCATAAATGAACACAAAAATTTCATGAACCATTTATGTTGAACATTTCAGTTTAACATAAAACACTTACCTGGCCTATTTGCAAATGAATTTCTTTTATAGCATTTGACAAGGATTCTATAATTTCCTTTATGTGAATGAGATGAGTTTCTTCAATATCTTGAAATTTCTGGGGAGAAAAACAAAAGTTATATACAGACACATAAGGACATAGAAGCTCCACCAAAACAGCTTGTAGAAATCACCTCCATATAACTAAACAAATTTGACCAGTTACTATTAATATATAATGCTTAATAACAAGCTTTCTATATAAATCAGTCTAGTACAAGTACTGAAATACAAGTTTGTTGGCTGAGAAAAATTTACTTTTTAATGATATTTCTCAGGCAAATATGAACTTTCTCAGTGTTTAAAGTTACCACAAATTAAAATCAATAATCATGGTCAGAAAAGTCCAATGAGGCCCAGAAGACGGCAGTATCAAAAAATCAAGAAAAAAGTTTCTAAAACTGAAAAATAGTTGGTAGAATAAAACATACAGTTTACTTCTGAATACTTCAAAATCTAGCCCATGGATTCAAACATGTCTTTCTAATCTTGAAATGTTAATAAAAATAAAACAAAACCAAAAAAACCTATAATCTCCAAAAGAGGTAGGTTCACTCAGAGAAATTTGGGAAAGCCTGTACACTCAGTAACTCTCAATCGACAATTGGTATGGATCACAATCATCTAGGGAACATTTTCAAACTCCAAAGCATATCAAGTCCACTCTACTACTTGTGAAACAGTGGTGGAGGTAGGTAAGAATGTTACTTGGAAAACACTCCCAAGTTATTCTGCTATACCCAAGGAGAAACCCACTGCTAGCCTTGACTTTACAATCAACATATGAAAAGTTCAGAGAAATACTGAAATAATGAAACTTAGTTTTACTTTGCTTAACCCGGTATTTTCCTACTTTCCTTGACCGCACAACTCTGCTTTACTTCTTCCCTGAACATTTAGTTATACTTCACAGCACAATAAAGTTCCTCAAAACAAGGTTTAGAAATGCTAAACAGGCCCACTTTCTAACAAAATCTACCACACAAATCTGACTGCCCAAATTTTGAAAATTTACATGAGTTTTAAGGAATGGGCCTAAATGCTTTGTTTTTTTTGTTAGTTTAATCAAATTAATTCCCTCACTCTATATTTAATGTCCTAATTCTTTAGCACTGAGTTACAAGATGAAAAACCATAATGCCAAATGATTAAATCCTATTTGTGTAAATGACATGAACTTAAAAAAAAAATGGTGAAATTACTATTTTGGCAGTATGCAAAATGACATCACTTTTATTCATTGGTTAAAAACAGAGTTAAAATGGAGGACCTCAAGTCTACGGTCGTAAGACACCCTTCTGACCTGGAACTAAAGCTATTCCTAGAGACCACCTTTCTTCCAAACAACAGACAAACCCATAAAATAACCAATGAGAGGAATGTGTTCCTTAGAACAATCAATTATAGGCGATAAAAGAACAACACTTGCATAAAACCAAAGATGAGAAGGCAGGAATGGGTAGAAAATAGGAACCTCACAGCAGAAATGAGGAGACTGCTGGTACACTGGGCAATGCAGCCAACGCCATGGGCCACTTTATGTACAAACTATCAAATGAGAGACTCACTTGCTATTTGCTCTATAAACTTTCACCTAAAGCATGGTAAAAAAAAATGTAATTAAATCAATGGTGGGCCTTAATTTAGATCAAGTCAATGAAACACCAAAATTTCAACAGCCTGAGTTATGCTCAGGAACTGAGGAATATTCAGCAAAAACCATGATTTATTAGAAATTCATATTATAAATAGTGGCTCTCGGCTTTAGATGACAACAATATAAAGAAACATATTCCCATAAGTAACCAGTGCATTACTTGCTGTTCAGTGACGTGACTCATGTTAGGTTCATGTGTTGCAGAGTAGAAATGTAATTCATATGGGTTCTCAAAGTTTAACATTAGTTTAAAAAGAAAAAGCACAGTCTTTTCAGCAACTGAAGATATATAAAAGCTCATTATAAAATCCCTTAATCTGAGTGTGTTAGTACATCTCAACACTTCCATAAACTAGTCACCTCACTGCTTTAAAATAAAATCTTCATATATGTTCAAAGTTTTTGTTTTGTTTTCAAATTTCTCCTTAACCAATGGTGATACAAAACATGAGCATAAAGTTGTGTGCCATCAAGTCGGTCCCGACTCTACACAGCGTTTCCAAGGCTGTGAATCTCCATGGAAGCAGAAAGCCTTATCTTTGTCCTTTGGAGGGGCTGGTAGATTCAAACCACAAACCCTGAGGTTAACAGCCCAATGCAAACCATCCCACTATACCACCAGGACTCTACAGAAAGAAAGTCACAATGTTAATCATTCTTATTCCAATCCCAAATGAAATAAGCATAAATCACAACAACTCCATGTAAATTCTACCTTCTTTTATTTCAGGGGCTCAATTTCTTTTCCCACAAGTAAACATGATCACCCAAATTAGGTTCTCACTAAACTGACAGGCTCCTGGCCTCAGGGATTAGGTCCACCTGCTTGGCCTGGAACAAAAGGGCCAGGGAGAAGTAAAATGATTCTTTTCACTTTTAAACACAAATGAAAGACTATTTTCTATTAAGAGACAATAGTGAACCTGTTCTGTTCCCTGTGTGGTGTGCCTGTGAGAGAGTAAGAACAACACTAGAGAAGATGAAAAAGAAAAAAATAAGCGTAAGATATAACATTACCATCATCTTTGTTTAAAAGCAACATGGACTCACATCTGCTCATATAAATCTTGAAAAACGGAAGGATGAACAATTTAAAATGCCATTAAAAAAAAAAAGCAGCAGAACGTTACCAGGAGACATAAACTTGGTGACTGACTTTTAAGAATACTTTTATATAGTAACAAAACATAAACAAACAAAAAACTCTGTGTTGTTTTACAAAGTATTAAACAATCTATTAAAAGGTAAACATTTTCATTGACAGCAACTAATCATTTTAATGCTGAAGTCAACAAACCATTAGGAAGTCTTATGAGTGTTCCTAATGACCCGTGTGGCACTGTGGGTTAAGGTGCTGGACTGCAAAGTTGGTTTAAACCGTTTGCTCCTTGGAAATCCAATACAGGGTAGCTATGGGTTGGAGTCAACTCGTTCACACTTAACAACAACAACAACGACGACTTAAAGGAGTCCTGGTATGGCACTGTAGAATAAGCACTCGACCATAAGGTCTGTTTGAACTGCAAGGTTGTTTGCTCAAACTCACCAGCTGCTCCTCGGAAACCATATACAGAGATGCTATTAGAATCAACTCAACAGCACTTAACAAAGTATGGAGTCTTGGTGTGGCGCTATAGGGTAAGCACTGGATTGCAAGACTGGTAGGAACCACAACATCAGCGATTCAAAGTCACTAGCTGCTCCTCATAAACCCTATACAGGGTCACTATGAGTCAGAACCAACTCAATGGCACTTAGCAACAATAACGAAAAAGTGAGTCCTGGTGTGGCGCTGTAGGATACCCCTAGACAGCTAACAGTAAGGTCAGCAGTTCAAATCCACCAGCCACTCATGGAAACCCTATTTAGGGTCCCTATGAGTCACAATAGACTCAATGAGTGCAACAACACAATGGGCTCTACAATGACCTCAGTTGCTTTAGAGATTAAAACATTTTATTTCATTAGATTCAGAGCCAGAATGCTCCTTAGAAGGCAGGATGGTGAGTCTTCATCTCTCTTACTTCAGACATATTATCAGGAGGAAGCCTCCCTGGAGAAGAACATCATGCTTGATAAAGTGGAGGGTCAGCAAAAAGGAAGAAGACAGCCCTCCCCACAACAAGATAGATTGGCACCATGGCAACAGCAAGGGGCTCTAACGTAACAATTGTGAGGAAGACTTAGGACTGGACTGTGTTTTGTTCTGTCGTGCACAAGGTTGCTGAGCCGGAACAAACTTGACAGCACCTAATAACAACAACAGATTAAGAGCAACACTTAAAACAACCATTCCTGAAACATTTTCCTTCTCTGCTTCTATGGCATTGCTCTTCCCACTTTTCTTTCTTCTTGACTGGTTTATCCTACTCCATTTCAGAATCTCTTCCCCTAACAAACTATAAATGATAAGTCTCTCACAGCTTGATCCTGGTGGGTCCTTTCTTCTCCACACTCTATGTAAAGGTGATCTCCTTTAGTCTTTGTGTGCAAACAACATCCTACTTTTTAAGTGCTCGCAATCTTTTATCCAAAATTATTGGGACCAGATGTGCTTTGAAATTAATTCTTTTTTCCTTAATAAAGATAATATGGTGTCAATACTATGTATTTCATAGTATTAGCAGAATCTACTGGTGTGGCGCTGTGGGAGAAAGCACTGGACTTCAAGTTCTGTTTGAACTGCAAGGTTAGAAGTTCAAACTCACCAGAAGCTCCTCAGAAACCCTATACAAGATTGCTATGAGTCAGAACCGACTCCACAGCATTTAAAAAGCAGAATCCATAGTGATGCCTGTTTATCACATACATTAATATTTCTAGAAGACAACATGTATATATGTCTAGACTGTGAATCACAAAGTTGGCAGTTTGAAGTGACCAGGGTGTTCCACGAGGGAAAGATGAGGCTACTGCTCCTGCCAAGATTTACAGCCTCGGAAACCCTATACAGGGTCACTATAATGGCACTAAACAAAAACAATGTGTGTGTGTGTGTGTGTGTGTATCTATTATATGTACACATATATGTGGGGGTATTAAAAATTTATGAAAAATTTAATTAAAAGATAATGGAGAGACCAGAAGAAACTAGATAGTGCCTGGCTACCATTACCGACCACACATTAGGTAGGTATTGGATACAGTGGGAGAAAATGTGGAACAAAACTCAAAATTAGAAAAATGACCAGGACTACAGGTCAGAAAAAGACTGGGTAACCACCCTTAAGGTCTGGGAAGAAATTAACCCTTGTGGCCCAATTTTAAGAGAAGAAGTAGGTAGGTATGTAGGGGGGACAACAATAATAGTAAAGTCTGTTCACCATGGAATGATGAACCATTCAAGATCAAAAGGGCAACATTTACCAACGGACAAAGTTCAGAAAGTATGGTATAACTGT